AGATTTTTTGGATTACTTCTCTCTTTTTTATTTTTAATCACTGGCACAAACACCAAATACTGAAATTTTGCAGTCTCTTTTGATGACTTCTACATTTTCATTACTTACTGGTTTGAAAGTATAATCTAATACATTAACAAAGTGCTCAGAAAGGCAGGCAAGGGAGTAGTCATGCTCCCTTTAAACAGAAAAATTAAGAAACCCTAGATAATATGACTTCAACTATGGAATATTTAGAACTATAGTAAAGTACAGCTTACAAGAAAGCATGTGATTAGAAGCACATGCAAGAAAATAAAGTTCTGCCAGACACACTGTTCTTTTGTGATCTCATGAAAGTACATACCTGATGAAAAACACCTTGAAAACAAAAATCTTGGGAAATATAACAGCTGACAACTAGAAGAGTGATTGGGTTTGTGCTGGGAGTTTTTTTTCTCTTCTGAAAGCAAATCATCAGCAAGTCATTATAACACCTTTTGGGAAATAACACCTATTACTTGTCGATCTACTTGGAGTAGAAAATCACCCTATTTTTTAAAACTGCAAACTTATTTCTAGTAATGTGCACTATTATTACTTTCTTCTTTTCAAGGATTTAGGTTCAATCTTTCAAATGACCACAGCTTTGGAAGTTTTACAGAAGACAGAAGAGCATTCCTGTATTTGTAAAATAATCCTTAAAATTGACAGGGAGACATCCTTGGATTCTAGAGTTCTAATGAAGAAAATTGTTAATTGCCAAGGTAAAAATTCCATATATTTAACTCTGCCTAAAGGACATATTTAAGTGATTCACTTTACAGAGCCTGTAAAGTAACTAAGATCCTGTCTAAACAAAGACTCTGGCAGAGGCTTTTCCTCATTCCTTGTTAAAAGAACATCTTTAATGTTCTCACTAATCCCAAACATGGTAGCAGGTATCCCTGGGAAGAGTCCAGATCTCAGGAAGCGACGCACCAACTGTAATAAAGCCTGACTGCCTCAAAGCTTTTTAAAAGCCAGTGCTCGTCCCAGAGCAGCCCTGAGCTGCACAATAGGAACACCTTCCCCACACTGCACTGCTGCCACTCTGCAAATGTCCAGAGTGATACAATCCCAGGCTAACTAGGACAGGGATGTTATTGACAAAGGCTAAGAGACTGTTAATTCCTTTGGCAAGAGACTGGAGGAGAAGAATGGGAAGCAGAAGTCCAGCACTCTGTTCCCCACTTCCATCCCTCACTTGCCAAGTGGTAATTCATCTGTTCAACACCCACTCACACCAGGCACAAAGAAATAGGCCAGACAATGGAGTCTGAAGATTTAGGAACAAAAATAATTTTATACTACTGTCCCAGATTCAGTACTACAAGGCATGTGAGATTTCCTCTGGGTTTTTTTTGCTGGAGTTTTTTGGGGGTGGTGGTGGTATGCTTTTAAGCACTGCTGCACCATGGAAGTATTTCAAATAGCTTAGGTGCCAATTCCATTATTATTGTAAATTGCAGACTAATCTTACTTACTCTCACCACACAGAAGCTGTGGAGGGGTGCTCATCTTTACCTAAAACTGGATCCTGACTCTGTAGATAGGACTACTACCAAACAAATTAGAGATGCACTTTCAAATGTTAACAGGCATAGCTTAAAAGTTATTGTACCATGCAAAAGGACCTCTACTTTGAGCCCATTACTTGAAAAAACCTTCCAAGCATGCTGTGAAGTGCAGGCTGTCTTTTCCCTTGCTGTTGAAGTTGCATATTGATGAAAACATATCTATGGCAAATCTTTGGCTTATGCTTATTTTTAGTGCGGAATAAGAACTTTGAGTAAAGGAAGAAGCATGATAGCTGCATATTATAAAGTGGAAAAAATACTCAAAAAAGTAGTCAGCAAAATGCAGTATGTTACAAGCATGCTTGATAACTAAATTCAAAATATTATTAAAAGTATAATTGATGCACTTTGTGGTAATTATATGAAGTGTTCTTATTTCCTTCCTGCTACAGTCAGAGCATGAATAAACAATCTGCTTTCAATTGCTCTCAGCCATGAAATTTAAAGAGGCTGAAGAATACGCAAGTCAAACAAGAAATTTTAAAAGGGCTGGCATTTATTTGTAGAAAAATTTTACTGGTACATTTCAAAAACTTACAGAAAAGTTAACTACTCAAGCACAGTAGTATTCAAGGCAGTATTCAAAGGCAAATACAATCAACATCTCCCTGCACTGACAGAAATTGTGAATTGGCTTTCAGGTACCCAGTGGAAGAAAACAGTCAAGTATTTGAAGTTACTGCAAAGATTTGTACACATTTCCTTTGTAAAAGGCACACCATGACCACAAACCCCACAAAAGACAATTTTTGTCTTCCAACAGATTTTACTGTTTCATGCAGAATTCAGTCACTTTATACAAACCTTACATGAGTTGAGATTTCTTGATTTCCACATTGTGAAGAAAAATTTCAGTCTAAGTTTGTGTGATTTCAACAGCTGCTACATTTTCCTGCCCAGGTTGTAGCAAGAAAGGAGTTGCTTTATGCCATATTTTGTTTCTGATTAGAGAAGTCAAAATCTAAAAAAACCTCCAAAAAATTAGCTACCTAAAAGCTAACTCGACTCAGATGTCTTAAAAGAACACACACACTCACAAAAAAAAACCGACAGAAAACCGAGGAAATCTGCACTTAGACAGAAGGTAATTATATAGATAATCCATACCTATTAAAAAATTCCTTATCCAATGAGAGAATAATAGATTTTTTTGCCAAGTACTATACTCCTACTAGCCCCAAGCACCATCACTCTTATCACTCCAATAATAGAGTATATGACATGAAAGCAAGCATGTTACTTCAGCAGCTCTGTGGGGTGTATCTAAACCCGGGAAAACATAAAATATCTAGAAACTACAGCAATACCTATCGTTTAAAGGCATAATAGGAGTTGAAATTGATGATCTAACACTGATATTCCTGAAGAATAACGTTACAGGTATCCTGGAATAGAAAATCACACCTAAGCATTCATGTGAGTTATGCTGCTTTGAATCAGAACATTAGTGAAGTCCCAATTCTTAATCTTAACCACCAGGTCCCTGTCTTTCCAAGACAAAACACTAAGTGGAATCCCTTCTCTTACTCGGGTTATTTCCAGACCCTGATAAAAGAAAGCAAGCATTGGCAGGTGCAATTGTCTTTTGTTCTGCAGGAAACATGTGCCTTCTGAAATCAGCTCAAACTGGAGAGTTTTGAAATAACAAGTCCAAAGGTTTCCATGGACAAGGCAGCACAGGCAGCCCCTGTACAGCTCTTACAGGATTCTCACCAACACAGCTTGACAGGGTTCCAGCGGGAAGACCTCTCAGTCTCTGCCTCAAGCTTTTGGTCTCTTCCTCAGATTACCAAAAGACAGCCAATTGTGATGGTGGATTTTCTGCTGGAAGGAAATTTCATGCTGGACTGAGACCACCAACTCATTTCACAAAAAATAAGATGGCAGTAGTTTTTTTGCACTTGCCAACTTAAACCGTATCTGAGCTACAGCCCTAGATGTGAAAGGCTCTGTAATAAATTACCAATCTCCTGAGCCATCCAGTTAACAACATGCTTGGTTTTCTTTTAAGCATTATTTCACGTTCATAAATTTTCCAAAACTGTAGAAAGTAAAATGTTAGAAAAATTTATATTCTTGATGACGAATCATCTGCTACCTGTATGCCTCTTAAAAATATAATAAAGTTGGCTAAGTAGTAACATGCACTATGTATTTCTATATTATGTTTTGCTCCACTACTTCATGAGTCATGACAAAACCACCAGAATCTTTTTGACTTTTTCCCCTCAGTGCTGAGGCTTTTGTTCCATTTCTAAAACCAGGAGCAAATTAAAATCATCCACACAATCACTGCAATAAAGCAAAGTTTCCTTGTACTTCAGTTCTGAAAATGCTATTTATCAGAGGGATACCTTTTGCCTTCCATCCAAATGGAGAAACTGGCACTCTGTAAAAGCATTTATCAGGCACGAAAATAGATGTCAAAAAACTAGTCCTTGACCACATTTCCAGGAACACTATTAAAGCTATTTCAAAGACAAAAAGTGACTCTGGAGGAGTAGTAAGGAAACCAGACTTACTTCACCAAACACAGAATATCACTGGCAACACTGACTCATAGGAATGAAAGGTCAACCTAACGATACTTTAAATTACTGAAACTTCATTCGTGCATAAGAGTATCATATATAAGTGGCACACTTAGAAGTAAATTGAAAAAAAAGAATGCTATCAAAGAGTAAGAGCTACAGACAAGTGGATCAGAGAAATTACCCAATTTCAAGACAACGGACAAAAAAGACCAGTTACTGTGGGGCTGTTTGGAAGGCAAATATATAACAATTGCTGTGATTCACCAGTTGAAAAGAATTTGCTGGTTAAAGACACTAACTCAGGTTAAAAATGTTTTCCTTATATTGTAGTTTGAATGCACATTAGTCTACTTGCAGAAATCATCTAAAGTTGCTGTGGCTATATTGCTGGTAGATTATAAACATTAGGAAACAATAATGGCTTTGAAAAGTCACTTTCCTACATTAAACTGATAATTTCAGAAAAAAATCTTTTTTTCAGCAATTCTTACAGCCAGTCATTCTCCCCCCACCTACACCAAAGCTGTATTTAGTTATTTCTCTTGCCTGCAGTGATACTACTACAGGCATTTTCTGTACCTCAATGTGCCTGTTATTTAAATAACCCATTTAAAATAGTTTATTTAGAAAATCAAAAAACATGAACAGCCATCTGATAGACTTGCTCTCATAAGCATATCAGATCACAGCCAGCTTTTAAAATCCACTCTACTAATCAAGGCTGTCTGACTGCAGTGTAAAAATATATATTTATTAGTACATGCTCTTAGCACCAAGGCTTTTGTTTCCCAGTGGTTTTTCATTAAGAAAAACAACCCTTGCCCTCAATCATCATCCCAGTGCTAAAACCCATTGAGGATCCACTTACCAAATCCCTGTGTAACACCCAGTTAGCATGCAGGTAGTGAATACCATCTAGGATCTGATACAACAGCGACTTCACCATTCCCCGAGGTAACTGAACTGGTTTCTTGTTTGCTTTAGAAGCCCTGTGAAACTTGATTATATGCTGCAAAGGGGAAAAAAGGAAATTAAAGTAAAAGAAGTGCAATGTTTACACAAAAAAGATTGCCATCAACTCCTTACACAAACTTCTTAGGGTTTTTTCAACCTTTCATGATTTGTTTTCCAAACTAGAAACATGGGCCTGAAGTACTAAAAAATTAATACTGTACTTAGTAAAGTGATCACCATCCCAAAGCAATCTCTCAAAAATTAAGCTGGTTTTTGCTGTGGTTTAACCCCAGAAAGCAGCTAAGCCCTGCGAAGTATGAGGAATACAAAATCAATATGACCATCAAAGCACATTTCCTTTTAGATCACTGATCTTTCAGGTTTTAGAGGTATTTTTGTTTGGGGAGTGTCTTTGTTAAGATAGGCTGATATCCTGTACATCAAATCACAGAATTACAAGTGTATTACCTCCTACATTATTTTACTTCTAAGTTTTCTCCTACAGTAATAATGACTGTAACATTCAAGACCTAATGCCAAGCAGAAATTTTTGCAAACTGTATTAGAAAGTTTATACATTTAAATCAGAAGCCCAGATTTATTCCTTCCTTCCTTATTTACTATATCCTTATAGCACAGTACTCTCAGAACAGAAGCTGTTGACAGACCAAGTCTACAAATCCGTCCATCTGGAAGTCAGCCACCAAGTCAGACACAGAAAAAGAACCTTTAGCAATTCTAAATTTAGACACAAGGATTGATGTCTGGCACCGAGGAGGAGCCCAAAAGGATGTGTTGTCTTAGTACTTGAGCCCCAGGTGTCAGTAAGTTCAACAACAAGGTGTGCCATAGTCATGGTAACCACTTCCATGTTTGCCTCCTTCAAACACAGAGGCAATTTCTAGAACAAACTTCCTAATATATCCACACTTTTTTTCTGTAATGGCTCGCACTTGTGTGATCATCAAAACAGCCCAAATCTTGTCTACCAAAACCTGGCACCAAACTTCTATCGTACGCTCTTCCTACGTTCATGACTCCTCATGTTCCAGGTGCCAATTAGCTAACCCAGCTATCTAACATCCTTTGGGAAACTGCCTTTGCTCTCCTGCTGCAGCCCAGCTCCATATAGCCTGCCCTCCTCCGCTTCAGGCAGCCAGGTTTGGCTTTCCTGGGAGGAACAGGCACATTTCTGCCCTGTCAAAGGTAAAAATGGAGATACACAGAGCAAAAAAACATTGATGAAAATGGGACAGTCCCTGCACTCTCAGCCAAGCACCACATGCAGAAGCATCCCTCAGCCTGAGCCACAAGTTTTACCTCTTCTCACCTCTCATTTCCACCAACTCCAAAATAAATGTTATTTTCATACAGTGGACAGAGAGAAGTGACTCTCAGAGATAGGCAGGAAAACAGATGGTTGTCCCAGACTTTTTTTCCTGCTCTAATACACTCTGTATTATCTAGCCCTTTCCCAGCCTTACTCAAAACCTGCTGTCCTAAATACACAAGTGCTGGAGCACTTGATCCATGGCCAGCTCTCTGGGGCACAAAGCCAGCCCAGTCATTGCAACCAAGTCTCTCACATCGAGATACAGTGAGCAACCAGGAGTTGGTGCGGCTGGGGAATTCTGGAGTTCATACAGGTACATGCATGTAAGCATAAAGCTCAAAATTGAGGGCCACTCCTAAGTTAGTTACATACAAACCAGTGTTTAATTAACAGAAATACTTCTGTGGTGATTTAGGTTAAGTATGAAGCAAAGCAGAAATGTATAAATACAAACAAAAACAGGTCATAGTAATAATAGCCCCAACAAATATGAAGCCTTGTAGCACATTTTGGAACAAAAAACTCTCAAACATTCCTAGACCTCAGTAGCTCAGTGTATCGTAAATATGGGGGAGTAGTGGAAAAAAGAGTGCTCTTATTTTTCCATCATATTAAAATAAAAACAAAACAAAACTGTACTCCATTTCCTCAAGATGTTGTTTCTGTTTATCAGCCTTAGGAATGTCTCAACATTTCAGCTGTTTGCTACCTTTTTTGTCTCTAATTTTACTTTGGTAACAAAACCTCAATAACAAGTATCAGAACTTCCAAGACATTTAACAGTAAGAAAATATCTTTCATTTAGCTTAGCAGAAAGAAAACTGACACACTACTTCTTAGTGTGTCACACTCATGATTCAGTGTGCAATTCTCACATGTACACATCCATAAAAATTTTCCCTCGTTACAAATTGTTTCTGTTGCACCCTTTGATATGAATCTTAGCATCTTTTGAGGTTAGCATTTGTACCATTGAGAGCAATCCTCCTTATGTATGTCAGCATTAATCTGAGGCACGCCCACCATTTTTCAGGGAAGTCATGGCTGCATGGTATTTTTCATTTTACCATGCTATTTTATTTTTTAAGCATTCCAAACGGATATTAAGCTTACAAATATTGAGTTAACAGAGGAATTCAGTTTGTATCTTAATACAAATTTACTTTGCCTCCAACAGGTTTATATTTTAAAGCTGTATCTTGCAATTAGGAATAAATAGCTTTCCTCCCAAATACACGGAATTTCTGCAGACAAGTTGAGAAAAATTTTTCCCACTGAAATGTATGAATTAAATATACAGTGGCACTACTCTCATTACATTACTCATGGATAACAACCAATGCAACTAAAACTCTGAACTGTCCTATTGAAAAAAAAGATTTTAAAAGGGAATTCACCTGCATAATCAATACATTTTCCTGCACCCTACTTTTGCTGTAATAGGGGTTTATATCTACATTTATTTAAGTAGACTTCCAGCTACTGAGAGCTGATTTCTGCAGATTTTTTGTAGCTTTTTATCTTCTTAAAGAGATCACAGGTTTAACTGTGTGGTGTGTTTACTTAACATTTTCCATTGCTTTTCCTTTAGTACTGAAAATGCTTCCAACAAACATGGAGTAAGCAGCTATGTTGTGCTTAAAACTTATGCATCTCCCCTGACACTGTCCCTCTGCTGCAATTAAAACTCGAAGCCTGGTACCTACAAACAATTCACCTTACCCAGAGGTCATGCTCAGCGTAGTCAAAGAGAAGCCACACCTTCCTGTCAGCATGAGAAAGGAACACCTTTTGCAGAGAAATGACATTTGGATGCTTGAGCTCCCGCAGCAACTGCAAAAGAAAAAGTCCACAACAGTTATATACACACATCCAGAGCTGGTATACTCAGAACACAAACAAGAGAAGCTGAAATCTGCAAGCCACAGAAAACCACTTTTTTTAATGAAAGAACCAGTCATTAGTTTCAAACCAGAGCTGAAAGCAGGTCATAACCCCCTCAGGGCATTCATTTCTTACTCATTTTCTAAAAGCTCAACTCCATGTAAACCTCATTATTATCCAGGACCAAGATGACTCTGCAAACAGCCAGCTGTGGCATCTGCCCTTTTGCATAGGCTGTAATCTTCAACAGTCCTATTCGGGGTACCCCATTTTCTCCTCACTTCCAATTATCTGAAAAAGCTGCATTTTCATTGCAGTCAGTTGAGACTGAATGGGATGGCTGATGTAGAGCCTGCTAATGCAGTCAGCTAAACCAAGATGTGGCTTGTAAGGTGGACTCTGCTGATCTACAAGGTCACCACTCTCCACAGAAGAGGGTCCAGCTTCTGCACCACAGCACAGACTACACCAGTAAGTACACCCACAAGATTACACCAGTGAGTACATTCACAGAAGGCACCCATAAAACAGCACCCAGTTCAAGAGAAAACTACTCTGCATGTACAAAGGCTGAAAGGTAACCTGGTACAGAGCTCTTGAGCTGAAACAAATCAGAGTACTAACAGCAGAGACAGCCCTAGCAAAGGGACACACCTGGATCTTCTTTCAGCAGCAGTGAGCCATTAAACCAGCTCAGCTGCTTCAGAAGCTACAGTTTGAACCCTACCAAAAGGAAAATATAGATGAGATACAGCACAACAACTGAATGCAGACAGCATCAGTGTATTTGAGGTCTCATGGTCATGTTACAATCATAATGTACTCATTCAATTGCTAAGAAAGAAAAAAAGCTTTATCTAAACAAAATGTAGTTAAGTATGACTACCCAGGACTAGCCGAATTCCTGCCAGTTCAGTGTTCCAAAAATGAGGACATTTCTCACTAAAAGGAATTGTTAGGGCTTTTTATTTTTTAAAAAAGTGCCAAGAGAAAATTAAACTACTCTTTGAATACAGAATTTACTTCTGAGACAATCTATTTTCAATAAAATATAATTTTCTCACTATGTAACAGAGGAAACAAAAAAAAAAAATTCTTTTCTATTTATACCTTTGTCATAAGTGCTAAAATTTTAGCTGCTACTGAGATAGTAAAGTGGAAGTATATATATGTGTGCTTGTTTCCTTCTTTCCTATTTCATTTGAGACAGACTTGCATTATGACTCACTGACCAGTCTTCAGTGTGCCATTTCTTGGAAAAAACGGACCTATAACCCACAGAAATTTTACCTCAAGTACAAGATCAAACAGGGAGATAGTGCAGAGAAGACAAAGCAGAAATAGAAATCAATGCAGAAGGCTATAAAGTTTCAGCATGGTAAAACTCTAGGATTTGTAAAGCACTACATCGAGGCCCTTTAAGGCAGGATCTGCAAGAAGTATGGAATTTTTTAAATGCCTGTAATTCCAAGAAAGAGTAAGATCAGTATGGGAAAAACCAAGAAATGCTTATTTGCACTTTTTTATCAATTACAGGTGGGGATCGCCTGTAGTAATTTAACCCCAGGCAGAAGCTAAACCCCACAGAGCCACTTGCTCACCTCTCTCAGTCAGACATGAATGGAAAAACAAAAATTCAAGAAAATTTGTGAGTAAGACAGTTTAGTAAGTGAAAGAAGAGGAATTAAACACCACACCCACAACAAAAAACAACAGAAGCAATGTGAAGGCAATCATGTACAACTTCCCACAAGAGAACTGGTGCCCAGCCAGTCTCCATGCAAAGGGAGGAGGGGGCAGGAATGGGACACAGAAAAAGCCTGAACACTATAAGCAATAGCCAAAGCACTGCTGGCTTATCAGCACTACTTTAGTCCACAAACTCAACACACTCCACCAAGAAGATTAACTGCATGCAAGACAGGCACAACACAGCATCAAAGACCAGCCTCTCAATGGTGAATGATGTTTAAGAATACACTGTGCCAGTCCTTAAAACAAAGTAATTTTTCTTTAATCAGCATAAATTCACATATTAAAATTATGCTAAAAAGTTTAATTAACTATACCAGAAGATTACATGACAGTTCAGCAACTATGTGTCCATACAAAAATATTGTATTTCCCGTGACCTAATGGACACATCTGTACCAGATACAACAAAATATTCCTTGATGACAGATGCAGATACTAGTCAGAACTCTTAAAAATAATGTAATGTTCCCTTTTGTCTGATCCCATTTTAAATCTCTCCTACTCCTTATTCCTGAGGTAGCAGCTATCACCTACCTAAAAAAATCCACCCTCTTCACATGAAATATGATTCAGCTTGGAGAACACAGAGAAAATCTATCACCAAAGCTGGACACAAATATGAGAAACTTTTAAGTAATGCAGGAGAAGAGCTCCCTGCATAGTGAGGCAATATAGATAGAATTCTCCCTTGTTTGTTCTAAGGTAGTCTTTGCAGACTTTGAGATTGACAGCATTCCTTGCTTTTTTCCTCACCACTCCACCTTGATCATTCCCCTTCCTACCTTTTATTTTTCCTCTAAACATCCCAGCAATCCTCTAAAATACCCAAAACCCCCACTATCCTCCTAAAAATTCCACAGCAACCTGCCTTCCTTCTCATCAGTCCCAGCTGACACTCACTCGTCAGGAGCATACCTGAGAAGTTCCTACTGCAGCTAACCACCATTGTGTTAGGAGTTCTGGCCTTTGCTACTGTCACTGGCACCACCTCTTACTGTTTGTGCATCTGTGCACTCAGTTTATCATTCTTGCTGGTTTCTGCCTTTGCCTTTTGTGTTGAATAACTGTTAAATCCACATTCTTTCACTTTGCTTAAAAATCCTGATGGGTTCAGTCAAAACCAGACAGCCACAACCCAGTAAACAGAAAGGCTAACATGTATCAGCAAATCCATCAGCATAAGGAAATGACTGCTGCAGTGGGACAGATGATTCCTGAGTCACTGTCTTGGAAAGGTTGAAATGTTCACAGTGACAAATGCAGTGTCTCTGAAGTATCTGAAAGAGCTCATGCAGATGATAATACATCACATGGGCTGCAAAGAGCATTTTCAGCAACCTCAGTCTCCACGAACCAGGCCTCTCTAGCCCATAAACCACATGCCTTTCCTACCAGATGACTTGACTTGTGTCCAGCAGCTGACAGAGTTCAAACAAAGACAGTTCAGACAAAGTAGACTGCAAGAAACATGCTGTGACTATCACTATGATGCCTGCTAATGATAAAGGGTATTTTTTGGCCTAATGACTTTTGTTATCTAACTGCTTCTGTCTATCGTAGCTCAGTTCTGTAGAACACAAAAAGAAAGCAGACAAAAATTATGTGTTTGGCTCTCAGTAAATTGCCTTCCTTTTTATTTGCATATCATATGATGATTCAAATCTATTTCCTCAGCCAGAAAGCTTTCTCTTATATTAGTTAGACTGAGTACCCCCTTATAAAGAAGGGACATCCAACAGACCTTCAAAGAACTAGAAATCAGCAAATGACAAAGATGCCAACACATCTGTTTTAGAAGCCCATGTTTGTCCCTGGCTGGTCCTACCCAAGTTTTCATACTGTTCAAGACCCAGCAAGGGAAGTTGTGGGCTCAAACTAAGGTCCCTCCACCTCCCTCTTGAAATGAAGAAATACTCATTCCACACAGCCATGGGTCAGCTGAGGGAAAGTAAATTAGTGTCCCAATGATGCATAAAATTCTTAAATTGCTTCAGGAACAAGGAAAAAGTGAAGTAAAACAGGATGATATTAAATAATCAACAGCAGCAGTAAGGAAACCAGGAAAACTGCAGCATGACTAAGACCAATCTTTTCTTGCACTAACAACAATTATCTTTCACATAAAATATGAGCTGAAGTCAGGACAATTTTTATGAACATGACCTGCTTCCTCTGGTGATATTCCTACATTTCCTGTGAAGCTCTCCATGACTGCAACAATTCTCACAAGCTAAGACAAAGCACTCTTCACGTAAGCGAGGATTTCTAGCTCTGCTGCAAATGGCATTTCACCCTTGCGCTTGACACTTGCTAACCTTTGTGGTCCAGGGAATGTTAACCTGCAAATGCAGCCTTGCAATACTACCATGCTTACTTCTATAATTCAACTTGCACTGGGGAGGTTAAGATCAGTTACTAGGAAAAATTACTTCACCAAAATGCTTGTCAAGGACTGGAACAGGATGCCCAGGAAAGTGGCTGCACTGCCATCCCTGGAGGTATGTGAAAGACATGCAGATGTGTTGTGCTGAGGAACATGGGTAAGTGCTGGACTTGGCAGCACTGGGTTAATGGCTGCACTTGATACAGGTCTTTCCAAACCTAAATGATGCCAAAATCCAGAAAGAGAGCACAGTTGCTAGAGCAGTTTGCCAGGTAACCCAGCCCAGGAGTCTCCCTTATGTCAGGACATCAGCTATCTTAGAAAAAGCAGCTTCTTGCTCTGACCACCTTCCTTTGAGTGCCACGCAGCACCTCTCCCAAGTCCTAGGACAGTCAGAAAACTGGCTACATACAAAGCCATTGGCAGTATCAACCAAATATTCATTTAAACAAAAGTCACTGTTGCACTACGTGGTTAGTTTGATAGCATAAATTCCAACTCTAATCATCATCTCATGCTTCAAAAAGGTTCTCATCAGTTTCACCAAGGGATCCAAAAACAAGCATCATACATTAAGCCATGCCATGGCCTTGAAATGCAAAAATGGGCAAGCAGGGCCTTGGAACACAAAGCAGACTGCAGTTGATGCAGAAAGGCAACTTTCAGGCTGGAAAGAGAAATGACAAATTTTACTCATCCTGTAACAAGTAAGGTGCCAGTGGAATTACTGCTACAACAGATGAGTATAGGCAGCAATAAGCCATTACCTGAAACATTATGTGTAATTCTGACCCATTCAGGGAAGATTAAA